AAACCTGGGTTGGACCCTCCCTGATTGCATTGTTATACATAATTACACCAACAGCATAACTATTTCGTTGCTCTTGTCGCGCTTCACGATCCCTGATGCGTTCTGGAGCTCGCACTTCCACCATGGCTCTTCGACGCTGCATTCGCAAGACGTTCTGTTCGCGCTCTCTTTCTCTTTCTCGGCCAGATCTTCGGACTCGCATTGCCGCATTGTTTGCCTCTCTTTCCCTTTCTCTGAAATCTGCATCCGCATGTCTGCGGTTTCTTATTGCATCAGAGTTTACTTCTCTTTCCCTTTCTCTGAATTCCGAATCGACAGCCCTGCGAGTCCTTATAGCTTCAGAATTCGCTTCTCTTTCCCTTTCTCTGTATTCCGAATCCGCAGCGCTGCGAGTTCTTATAGCTTCAGAATTCGCTTCTCTTTCCCTTTCTCTGTACTCCGAATCCGCAGCCCTGCGAGTCCTCATAGCTTCTGAATTCACTTCTCTTTCCCTTTCTCTGAATTCTAAGTCAACAGTCCTGCGAGTCCTCATAGCTTCAGAATTCACTTCTCTTTCCCTTTCTCTGAATTCTGAGTCAACAGTCCTGCGAGTCCTTATAGCTTCAGAATTCACTTCTCTTTCCCTTTCTCTGAATTCTGAGTCAACAGTCCTGCGAGTCCTCATAGCTTCAGAATTCAGTTCTCTTTCCCTTTCTCTGAATTCTGAGTCAACAGCCCTGCGAGTCCTCATAGCTTCAGAATTCTCTTCCCTTTCCCTTTCTCTATATTGCGAATCATTATCTCTGCGGTTTCTCATTGTTTCAGAATTCAATATTCTCTCCCTTTCTCTGTATTGAACGTCGATATCCCTGCGATTTCTCATTGCCTCGGAGTTCTGCAGTCTTTCCCTTTCTCTAAATTCTGAGCTGACATCTCGTCGAACTCTTATAGCATTCGCGTTTACCGCACGTTCAAAACTTCTGTTTTCTTCCGTCTGCCGACGAACCCTCATCCTGAAATTGCTCAAAATCCTTTCTCTTTCAACATACGCGGCATCCTCTTCTCGTAGAACTCTCATTGCGTCGCTATTTGCCTCCCTTTCTCTC